TGTACATGTACGTGTATACTAAGCATGTCACAAAAATACATGTACATGTATTGATCAATATTAAGTTCCCTTACTGCATATAGAAAGTTTGAACTAATTTGAACGTTTATATTCTTTTAATTTAAAAGAAGTTCTCTCTTTTCTTCCCCCCTCTCTCTCTCTTACTCCCCTTCCCTCCCTCACCTGTGTCCCTTGCTCCAGTTCCAGTCTCTTTATTTCAAGGATATTCTCTTGAGAAGTTGCTCCAGGAGCCACTGGCGTCACTTCAGTGTAAAGCTCCTTATTGTTAATGTAACTGTAATCAGAGAACTGTATCTCACGACCAAACAGCCTCCTCTTTCTGGAGACATTGAACTTCATCTATAAATAATGTATAATGGACTATAAAGTACATGCATAATGAATGATAAGTGTAAAAATACACGTGTACATGTACATGTACATAATATATGTGATCATGCTATATCAATTAGAGAAAAAAGAAGATTGGATGTAAACAAGTGTAATGGTGTAAAAATAAACCTATAATTGTTTTCACCACCTTTATGTACAGTTCATTGAAAATCAAGAAAAACAAATTTAATGCACTGTACATGTATGGTAAAATGTACATGTACATGGCATTTGGCAACTACACTAAATCTCTCTCTCTGTTATGACTATAATAATAATAATTATTCTTTAATATTAAATTATCTTACAAGAGGGCGTGTCAGTTTAATCATTCCTTCTATTATTTCCTTGTCACTTCCGAGACACACCCACACCCTAGGGGGCGGGGTCACTGGTATCGGCTCATCTTCCTCTTCTCCTTCACCTCCTTTATCACCTACAACATCCTCCGGAGGCTAAAAAAGAGGAAATAAAAAGTCACACTATATTACAATTATATATACATTTATGTGTACATGTACATGTACGTACAGTGAATATACACATACATGCACATTTAAAAAATAACACACACATTATGGCCTGGTTTACACGACTACATTTTAAAGTAAAACGGATATATTTTTAGTCGGATAAGGGTCTCGTTTACACTAAAACACAAGAAAACGCATATCAAATCCTAACAAAAGAAAAACGAATAACGGATAACTCTATAAACAAATGATAAAGTCCAATAAAAACGCAGCTGCTGGATTAGTGTAACACCTGAAAACAGTCATAGCAAAAACGATGCAGATTAGGCTAGCGTCGTCATGTAAACCAGGCCTATACATTAATATTGGCATTAGGTACAGACTATAGAATAACATTTATATTGTACATGTACATCTACTAGAGTACAATATAGTTTTTTTAATGTATTAATTTTTGAAGGCATTTACGTACGCATAATAAATTCATATTTACATGTACGTAATAAATTCACCTGTTACGTGTAGCTATTTTTATTATTCTTACTCATCAACTCACATTGAGTATGAGGTCTTTGGCTGCTTCAGTGAGACAGAGATAAAAGTTTTCCCCATACCTGAAGTCATAATCATACACCAGTAACAACTCCTCTCCATCATAGCTCTAATGGAGGAAGAGGGGGGAGAAAGAGCAAAAGGTCACTATCACTGTTATGATAAGTGTTATATCACAGGAAAAGAAG